GGGGGGGTAGCATATGTATATATATATATATATATATATCCTGCAGGATGTTTCCCAACCGGCTTTCGATCGCAAGGCTCCCAGGATAAAGTAGGTATCCGAAAAGCGAAATGCTTGCCTATGGCAATCGCCCTAGGCCCTGCAACCCGAAACTCAAACCCTGAACCCCGAAATTGAAGTCTGGAGCTTAAACTCTAAGCCTAGCATGTGAACTGTAGCCTTAACCCTAAGCCCTAAATCCTAAAGCTTAAACCCTAAACCCTAAATCCAATGCCCAAACCCTAAAACCTAAAACCTAAACCCTAAATCCTAAACCGTAATCCCCAAACCCTAGAACCTAAACCCTAAACCCACCACCCAAAGCCCAATCCCCAAACCCTGAAGCCTAAAGCCGTTGCCCAATGGAGCGCTGTCCAGATTCGGTTACTGCAACAGAGTGCTCCGGATCCAAGCAGCGTTTGTCTTCTTTTCGGTGATTGTTTTTCTGAACCAGTCAACTTGTTTAAGGCTTAAGGGTTTAATGTTTAGGGTTTAGGGCTGCAGGGTTTAGGGTGCACCAGACACAAGAAGCACAGAGGAACCAGATCAGATGAGCAGCGATCAGCCGCACCGGCACCAGCACCAGCACCAGCACAGACACACACTCTTTCCTGGGTTAGTCTTCTGAGGTACGCAGCTTTATCTGATTTTTTCAGTGCTGCCGGGGGCGTTGCTGGCACATGGAAGAATGCCAGCGGTTGGTTGCAAGGCCCTCCCTGCCAGCCGGGAAAGATGGAGAGCTCATGGCATGGTGTTGCCTGCAAGGACTGCCAGGTGGTCGCTATCTTCGTGGGACTCAACCGGCTGACAGGGCATATTTCGAATTCCCTGAATAACTTGACCCGCCTCTGGGATCTGGACCTTTATCAGAATGAGTTGACAGGCCCACTGCCGCAGCAGCCCCCTCAAGGTTCAGGTGGCGAGGGCGTTCACGTGAACTTGGGGGAAAACCGACTGTCGGGGCCGCTTCCAGCAGCTTGGGCCCAGTCGCCGGAACTGGTGACGTTGAGAATCTACAACAACAGCTTCTCAGGGCCGATTCCGTCAGACTGGAGGCAAAGCAAGCGTCTTGAATATTTAGATTTGAGGAGCAACTCTTTCGTGGGCGGATTGCCGATATTGCTGCCTCCGAGCATCCGGAATCTATATTTGCAGGATAACAGCTTCCACGGACGGCTTCCTGATCAGTGGGCCCCCTTGCCGCTTCGGAACATCCTTCTAGGCAACAACCGCATCACTGGACCCCTACGGAGTTCATGGGGTGAGATGCCCTCGCTGGAAGCATTTGCAGCACAGGGCAATCAGCTTGCGATGGGCTCAGATTGGGACATGGCCTAGGGCACCATATCCCCCAGAAGACAGACTTCAAAAAGCAGGCTTCTAGATACCAGAGCTGCATCAACATCGTGGGTTGTGTGTGCTTGCTGATCGAGTCACTGGCACTGAAGTAAGTGCTGGATTCAGCAACATGCGCATCTTATCCTGCGTGCACCATGCACCATGGAAAACGCCCCCATGCTCCGGCACGGGTTATCACCATCCAGCTTTCTCGTGCCTTGTTTTTTGGAGGATCTTCTGTGTGCCCCCTCGTTTTTCCCTTTATTCATTCCTCCACCAGTCCTGGTCCGAAGTTATCTTTTTCATCACCCCGGTGTGCCTGAGAAAGATGTGTGTGTGTGTGTGTGTGTGCAGTTATGCACAGATAGTTCTGTGGGGATCCAAGGGGAGGGAGCTAGCCCTAACCCAGGTCAGCATCGTGAGGAAGGCAGCTGATGCGATAGCAGACCCCAGAGACTTCCCTTGTAGTGCAGTGCCGATTCAATTCACCAGCGGCCAAACTGGAGTGTGTTCAGTTGCTACGCTTTCACAGTTTCGGCTTGAGGCGATGAGGACCTTGACCAAAGGTTTAGAGCCCGGAGTCTGGGCTTTTAGGGTTTTGGGTTAGGGTTTCGGGTTTGGAGTTTTGTTTTGCACATTTCCCCCCGAACCAACTCGCAGGCTGGCGCACAGCGCAGACTTTCAATGGACTGATCGTTCTTAGTCAGAAACGATCAAAAGAAAGCACGCAGCCGAAGGTGGCGGCATCCAGTAGGAAGGACTCTTTCAAGACAGACCCTTGGGTTTACTGTAGGAGGTGTTGAGGGAGGCATCCGCAGTTGATCGCAGCTCAGAAGATGGAGCCAACGCACCGGCTGTGTGTGGCTTTTGCTCTTCTGATCCTGTTCTTACGGCTCTTTGTTTGGATTGCTTGACTGTTGAAGCCATTTCACTGCCGTTGGAAGACTGAGGTGGGTGATGTGACTGATGTCTTGGAGAAGTACAGAAATCTTACACAGCTGCGAGTGCTCCTCCTACACAACAACCAGTTGTCTGGGTGTATAAAGCGGCTACCCCCCTCCTTGTACGAGTCATCTCGGCCACTCCGCCCGGATGCACAGGTGCTCCTCTTTGGAAACCATTTCTCTTGCAAGCTACCGACACCTCCGCATAACGCGACGAACATCACGGCTTTCGTCCTTCCTGGCAATCGCTTCTCCCTGCCTTCAGATCCTTTTGGCTGGTACACTTTGGAGGCCAAGTCTCCCTTGGCTGAACATGGATGGACGAAGACCATGATCTTTGTAGCCACCCTGCTGGTGCTACTTGCTGTGGTGCAGACTGCCTTGTGGGCTTGGCATTGGTATGCCCGCAGACTTGGGTTCCAGGCCAGATCAGCCACTTCGCGACAGCTTCAAGCAATCGGTTTCTTCTGTTGAATGGAGCCCTGTTGTAGACGGTGTAGAAACTACAGTAACAGCACCAGAGTCGTCACAGGTCAGGCACGTGTTCGGAAGTGTCCCTTTCTACGTTCACACATTCTTCCTCCTGGACGCAATCGCCATGATTCTGTGCATGTTGTTGTGGCCGCAGCTGAATCTGTATACGTGCCCGCCTGTTTTAGAATCATGGTCTGCAGCCAACCTCAATCCCTTGAGCTCTTCTGTTGTGCCTTATGCTATTCTGAGCTCTTTGCTTGGCTTCTCTTCTGGTCGAGCTCTGAGATATGGCCTCCGGCTTCGCCAGATGTGCCAGTTCGAGCGTGGGACTGCTTTGGATCGCAGATCTGTCCAAACAATTCTCATACTGATGCTGATTTCTGTGCTGTTGCATTCTGTCTTTGCTCTTGTGAAGTCGATCCCTGAGGAGAACACATTAGGCATCACGCGAAGCATAAGTGACACAGCTGGATGGCTGATACCAGTCATGTCCGTCGCCAACCGAGAGGTAACTACACGTGTAATGGCCCGGCGCTTGCCAGATCATGGAGTGCTCCAGAGTTCCCTGTTGCTGGCGTCCACGTTAAGTTGGGTCGCGCCACTTATGGTAAGTGGGCTGCTGAACGATCAATGCATTGGTGCTTGGCGTTGGTTTTGGGAATTGTGCGATATCCGAAATGCTGCCAAGCTTGAGTTCAAGGCCAATGGCGTACTGGTCGCGAATAGAGATGACTTCTGCACGGTTCCTGCTGAATCCCATGGCTTCTTTTGCATGCAGTCAATGGCAGAATTGGCTCTTCAGTTGCTGCTACCCAAGATGGTTTATGACGCATGTTTTCAGATAGCCCAGCTGTTGTACCCAAACTGGAAGAACCATGCTTCCCGATGCCTTGCCCGTGTTTGTCGACGATGTCACGAGGCTGGGATGTGCACAGGTTCGATGCCTGCCAAGCCTGCGAACTGGGAGGTGAGGAAAGCGGCTCTGAAGATTCAGAGCGCGTTGCAGCAAGCCATCCTCTTTGGGCCTTTTATTCCAGTCATCTATCTCGCGTGCTTTCTGAACACGGGCGCCCACTTGCTCAGAATGAAGGGCTTCCCAATGGAAACTTCCGAGAACGCAAGAAGCTTGGACCTAGCGCTTGAAGAAATGAGCTCGTCGCAAGCGACGGAAGCTTCGCAAGAATCGCCTGAGGCGACGTTTCACGAATTCATGGGAAGCCAGTTCTCATTTCTAGTGCTGCTCCGCTTTGTCGTTGCATTTTTCTTTTGCTCCGCGATGAAAGGGCCCTGGGGTGCTCTTTCCTTTGTAGCTGGCTGTGCTTTGAATCTGGTTTCGTTTTGTCCACCATGCAGGCGTCAAAGATGTCAAGCAGACAGACCAGTGCAACCCAGCACCTAATCAGACAGGGCTTCTGGCCTGTCCTGAGCTGCATCGCCGATTCCCTGAAGGAGGGTATGTGTGGCTTGGTTCTGTTTGGGTTTAGCGCGAGCCCACTGACACGGAAAAAGAGTGCCTTTGACTTTTTTATCATTGAATCAAGTGGCAGGGGTCAAGCTTGCAGGTCTGGGAGGAAGTTCTTTCATGTTCAAGGGTGCATCTTGAGAGCAACTCTCCCCACTCTTGAGAGTCACTCTCGGACTGATGATGGTGGGAACCTGGCGAGATGCTTCAGTAGCACGCTGTATGGCCCTCTTGGACTTTATGCCAGAGCAGGGGGTATGTGCCTTGCATCGTCTTTGAGAGAACTTGTTTGATCATCTGAGCATCTGGCTAACTGCTTGGAGGTTTCTGTGACTCTTATAAGTGCGACTCCCGACGACGCGCCATGGCGAGGATTGTGAGGATGGTGGCTCTGTGTGCCACGTTCGTGGCCAGTAGCGCGCAAAGCTGTGGAGAGCGTTTGCCGGGTATCTACCGTTCCTGTGCCTATGAGTGTGCGCCGTACGAAGGCCCAACACCTTCGGAGTGCTGCGACAAATGCCGCAGCAACACTGATTGCTTGGGGATTTGCATTGCAAAGGTCCCTGGTGTTGGCTCGTATCCTGGTGGCCAGGGAGACATCGTGGATGGCCCTGGCCACTGTGTGGTTGAGAATGGCGTCAACAGCTCCGACGATGACGATTGCCATATGCCACTCTCCGAACTTGAATTGCAGAATGGCCAGCTCATCTACACCCGGGGTAGGAGCAACGACTTGGGCCGACCTGGTCGCTGCTCCGCTGATCCCTACTTCCGCGTGGCCGGGAAGGAGCTCGTGATGTCAGGGGGACGCTCGGTCTCCTCGGTGGGGGATTGTTGTGATCTCTGCGCTTCCACTCCAGGCTGCGGAGGCTGGACGGTGGAGATGGCCCAGTCACCGTGGCAGTGCCGGCTTTTTGAGGCGGACTTCCGTAGAGAACCCTGCCACAAGTGCTACTCCGGGCTCAAGGCGTTTGCTGTGCAAGTCTGAGACTCTGCCGCTACCCTCAAGCCTATAGGAATGGGGCAAGCCTTGAAATCATCGCCTTCTTATTTGTTCTTGGGCGCTGAGTAAGTAGCCTTTAACCTTTTGGGGCTTATATATACCTAGGGCTAGGGTACTCAGCCCCTAAGTTTTCATGATGTTCGGCAGTCAGATGTGCGTTTGCCCCTGTTATTTTTCTGTATCGAGGCTAGTGTGCTCAGGCCGTCGACTGCTCTGAGTTAGCCATGCTAGCTTCTAGACAGACACACTTCGAGTCTGCGAGGGGTAGACAACAGTGTCCATCACTGCATGCAGTCTTCATATCTTGTCGCTGTTGGTAGTAACCCTAAACCCTAAACCCTAAACTCTAAACCCTAAACCCTAAACCCTAAACCCTAAAGAGGGGTGTTGCGGACGCTCCAGTTCCACCTCTTTCCACAACTTTCGGCTCGGGCTCCGAAGAGCTCCAACAAAAAGGAGCTCCGGGCTTTCCCCCCAGGGGTGCCGCCACGCGCGTCGGGGGTGCCGGGACCCCAGGGAAGGACGGAGTGAGCGTTTCCGAGAAAGTTGGGATATGGGAGTTCCAGAAATTTAGGGTACCTTATTTTGGGGTCCTTATAATAGGGATCCTTTTATTTAGGGTACTATATTAGGGTCCCCTATTTTCGGAAACCCCCATATGCTACCGAGGACCGGTGACTTTTTAAGCTTGTTTCGTTTCGGCTTCATTCTTCTGGGAGACCTTTCACTGCAAGGCAGTTCACCGGACCTGTGGTGATCAACAGCTGCGTGATGATCACGGGGCATCATCCAAGAGAGTGGGTAGGCTGCTGCACTGCATTGCACTGCCGCGGCCGCGGCTGCTGCTGCTGCTCTTCATCTTGACGTCATCTTGAGGATGTTTCCAATCGTTTTGTGGCCATCGAGCTGCTGATACTTGCTGATGCTGATGCTGTGGAAGGTGATGATGACGGTGATGGTGATGATCATGTGGGCTTAGCATGTATCCTGGGGCTGCAGGGATGCTTGTGGTCGTGGAGGACGGTGAGAGACGAAGATGCTCAGGAGAATGAGCGACGATGGGCAGCACACGTGCGACTGTTGTGAAGATCACAACTCAGATGACGAGGAAGATCGTGACCGGGATGAGAATGGCGACCATCTGAGGATGCTTGTGGGCATGGTCACGACGTTGGTGATGGCGACGAAAAAGAAGATGATGACGACGATGTTGATGTTGATGTTGAGGTGGTGGTGATGCTGGTGGTGGTAGTTGTCGTTGCCTTTGCATTTTTATTTGCATTTGCTGTTGCTTTTGTTGTTGTTGCTGCTGCTGAGTGCTGCTGCTGTTGCTGCTTGCAGTGGTGGCAGGGGTGATAAAGGTTCTTGGAGATTGTGTCGACGATGCTGATGCTGCTGTCAAATTTCTGACAATCATTCCCGTGACTTTTTTGGCAGTGTCGGGCCGCTCAGCAGCTTAAAACATACAGCTTGAACAGGGAGCCAGAGCTGCTAGGGTTCGCTCTTCAGGCTGCCCCATGGAGGGCGGCGAGCTCTCAGTGCCGGCCTCGCTGATCCGGAAGCATCGTCTCGCCTTGTAAGACCCAGACCCTCCAATACCCCTTAATTAAGGAATATACTACCTTAAATCATATTAGGGATCCTATTATAATTTAAGGTATATTCCTTAATTAAGGTGTACTGAAGTCTCTGGAGACATCCTGCTTTGTCGATCGTTGAGATCCTCCTAAACATCATCGCCAGCTCCAGAGCCCTGAATCATGACCTTTGTGTTGGGACAAGGAACGATAATCTCGTCGGGTACGGTCTTCGTTGTGCGTGGTACCGAGACAGCGACGGTCTCCAAGGTGGCGCGATCCGGCAACCTTGGAGCCCGCTATGGCGCTGTGACCACGTCCACGTGCCTGTTGCAAATGCAGCTACTTACAGTTCCATTCGTCCGAATAGACAGCGTAATATGAAGGGCAGCGCGAAGAGAACATCGAGCCTGCATTCTTTCTGATGCTCGACGTGTGATCGCGTCTTCCCTGGCTGCTTCCAGCATTCAAGGCATTAGAAGGCATCAGCAGAAGATTGTGCAAGGTCTGTGTGCACGCTGGCAGCGGCTTAAGTTTGGCTTAAACAGCGCAAAGGAGCAAGCATGAGGGCAGGCAGAGAGAGACAGTTTTTGAGAACAGACGGTCCCAGCAACACGTTTGCATGCATCATGGTGGCAGTAGGGGTGCGCACCCAAATGCTTCTTTCTGCCTCATCTGTTTGAATAACCTGCAGCAACACCAAGTTTAAGTGCCCAGTCCACATAGTTCGCACCACAACCATTGATGGACCCATAGCAGACTTTGCAGGCCAATGGGCGATTCCAAATCATGGCAATCCCGAACCAATACAGCTGGGTAGCAATGGGACTAATGTTGTGTTCATTCCCTAAACCCTAAACCCTAAACCCTAAACCCTAAACCCTAAACCCTAAACCTCTTGTGTTCATTAGAGGAATTCATAGACGCCGCCCCCGTGGTTTTGCAGAACCCTGAAGAACCCGCGGCATGGGACTCTGCGGTGCGGGGTGTTGAAATGTGCAGCTGGAAGACCGCACCCAAGGAATAGGGTTTAGGGTTTAAGGTTTAGGGTTTAGGGTTTAGGGTTTAGGCACGGAGAACATGCATAGCTATGCCTGGGAATGTGATCGGTTTATGTTTGAGTCGCCCGTCTTGCTGCTGCTGTTACTGCTGCTGCAGTTGTTGTTTATTGGCTTTGCGTTTGCCATTGATTTGGTATACCATGTCAACTTGTGATCGTTCCTCTCCGCACGGTAGTTCTGGCTTAAGACACCGCACCAGGAAGAGGTGGATTGGGCCAGGTGAGCGGCTTTCTAGCTGAGACAAGAGCTTTCAACCAGTAGTATCAATCACTTGCAACATCCGTGGTCAGGTCAACCCTCTCACGTGGTGAGTCCAGAAAGAACATGAGCTCCGTAAAGATGTTGCTTCCTCCTGATCAGGGAACATGCCGAGTTTGTGATCAGCGAAACGATCCGGGCGGTCAGAAACAACTTCGAACAGCTCGTAGCTATTGCTGTACCCAAATCTTCTTCGCCAGGTTTTTACAAGGTAGTCGAAACGGGGAGCTGCAAGTACTCGCATAGGAGGTCCGCTGCCGACATCGCAAAGGGTTTAAGCTAAATCAGGACACGCTTCTTCAACTCTTCGACGAACCACCCTAAACCCAAAACCCCTAAACGCTAAACCCTAAACCCAAAACACAAACCCCTAAACCCTAAACCCCTAAACCCTAAACCCTAAACCCTAACATCCTAAACATTCCTAAACCCTAATTATTGAGCTCGAGCATGGGAGAGGTGCATTGGTGCCCTTGATCGTGGTGAGGCCTTGGGCTTGCCTTTGCTTTCGCTTCCTGTGTCGATGATCTATGGTTTAGGGTTTAGGGGTTTGGGTTTAGGGTTTTGGGTTCAGGGTTTCGAGTTTAGGGTTTAGGGTTTAGGGGTTTTGGGTTTTGGGCTTGGGGTTTAGGGTTGATGACTTGCTGGCAGGAAGGGTGCTTGCAATCCATGTTTGAGCCGCCACTAGCCTTTTTGGCTCAAGATGCAGTTACTTGGGAAACCCTTCCATCATATATCCATGTTGGGTCATGTCGCATTTGGCCGTGATCCTCGCGTTGACTGGCACTGCGGCCGTTCGCCACTCGGATCTCGACCCTGATTCTCTTGCGACGCTCGGTTGAAATATAGCCCTAAACCCTAAACCCTAAACCCTACACCCTAAACCCTAAATACTTCGGAGGCCGCAGAAGGTGGGATGAAGGTAGGTAGGATTAAGGATCCCTTATATGTTTAGGGTTGAGGGTTTAGGGTTTAGGGTTTAGGGTTTAGGGTTTAGGGTTTATAAGGACTATTATTTGGGAATATCCGGCCTACCTTCATCCCACCTTTTCAGGCTTCCGAAATACTCGCCACCACTATTTGGCGAGTTCGTCATTATAACTCTTCGTGGGTTTTGCTCTCGAATCCTATTATAATTAAGGCCCTCATACCAGCCCCGAGCCCGAAATCCAAATTAAACCCTGAACGCCTACAGGCCTAAACCCTAAACCCTAAACCCTAAACCCTAAACCCTAAACCCTAAACCCCTAAACACTAAACCTCAACCCTTTAGTCCGGCACCCCTACAAACCCAAATCGAACCCTTAGTGTAACCCTTCTTATAACCCGTCTAGGAGCCTAAAAGGCAACCTTTGGAAGGAAGACCCCTAAGCCGCAAATGGAACCCTACCTGGGATCTTTCTCTATGGTAACCCTTTATGGTAACCCTTGCAGCATTCCTTGCAGGAGCCCTTATAGGGTTTCGGGTTTTAGGGGTTCAGGGCTTCTAAAAGCGCGGCCTTCAAAAGGAAGCCCGTAAACCCTGAACCCTAAACCCTAAACAACCCCACGCCTGCTCAGGAGCGCGGGCTGTGCGGAGACGTGCGTGTCGCCTTCCGGGCGGAGTCGCGGCCTTTGCTCAGACTAGGTAACTTTGAAGGGGTTCTAGGGTTTAGGGTATTGTAAGGGGTTTCGGGGTTCTATATAGGTTCCATTGAAGGGGTTCTGGGGTTTAGGGTATCAGAAGGGGTTTCGGGGTTCTATATAGGTTCCATTGAAGGGGTTCTAGGGTTTGTGGTATTATAAGGGGTTCCGGGGTTCTATATAGGTTCCATCGAAAGGATTCTAGGGTGTAGGGTATTAGAAGGGGTTCCGGGGTTCTATATAGGTTCCATCGAAGGGGTTCTGGGGTTTAGGGTATTATCAGGGGTTCCAGGGTTCTATATAGGTTCCATTGAGGGGGTTCCAGGGTTCAGGGTATTCTAAAGGGCTCCAAGGTTCTATATAGGTTGAATCAGGACTTTTAGCAGTAGAGTAGATCCATATATAATCCCAAACTTCCACCAGGATACTCGACAGCTAGGTTTGCTCCGAAGCTGAAGGACATTCC